AATTGATACAAAGCAAGGGTATAAAATAAGGGACTGAAGACATTCAATTCGAGTTTTTATTAGTAAAATTTCAATGTTGATCAGCCAAAATTTCTGGCAAAACGACCTGCCCCTTAATTTTTAGGATTTGCACACTGACTGATAAATCATAAAAAAATCATAAAATCTTAATAAAAAAAATCATAAAAATCATAAAAATCTTAAATCATAAAAAAAAAGTGAAAATAAAATATTTATTTATTCATCCAACTCCATATCAATATCACCATCACCATTATTATCGTCATCTGTTTCTACGGCTTTATTGAACTCCAATAAGAAAGTTTCCCACGTTGTTTTTGATAGGAGCTCCAAATTGGATGACCTAATGTTGGCTTTAATAAATTTTGATTTGCCAATTTTTTCAATTATTTTTTGTGCTCTATCACATAATTGATTATTTTTTGGATTTTTTTTGTTTGTATTATGTTGACGACCATTCCTGACATATTTAATTTATTAAAGCCAAATTCATCGATGACTTTTGCAAATTGTTTAATTGTGAAAGTGGTGTCCCTTTGGTGATGGTCGGTGTAAATTAATCGATAATTTAATGAGCTGACGGCTTTTACTGTTTCTTCAAACTTTGAAAAAAAATTTATTAATTTGTATAACTCGACCACTCGATTTTCCATATTCTTCAGGCTCCCTATAATGTCAGATAAGATTAAATAAATGATGTCAAAAAAAATTAGTGTAAAAGAGATCAAAACACAAATATATATCATACATTCTTCCACGATAGTCTTTAAATCAAGTTTGAAAATACTGTTGGTGCTCGATTCATACACTTCCGAAATTGTATAAAACAATTTTACTTGTGATGTTGTTGATGGTGGTGATTGTGATGCTGGTGATGATGATGATGCATATTTAATTTTATTTATTAAATTTTTTAACTCATTTGTCTCCGTAATATTAATAACATAAATATATACATATTACACAGTGGGTCTCGATTTAACGGACCTCGATTTAGCGGATTTAGGGGTTTAACGGATAAATTTTCAAAACCAAATTTTTCTATAATTATTTTATCTCGATTTAATGGATTTAACGGATTTTCATATATATTCGATTTAGCGGATATTTTTTAAAAATCCATATATGTCACTTATAATAAAATTCTCTCTATATTACAGATAATGATGATTCTTGCTTTTTTTGGATAGCCTAATTTTATAATAATAATATTATGAAAAGCAAAAAAATTTTGAATGGCGTGTAACAAGTGTAACAAACAATATTAATAGTATTTGGTTCCCTTTAATTAATATAAATTGCATTATTTAAAGAACAACTTGTTTTCTATTTTGCAGTGTGTAATAAAAAAATTTGCCTTCACTAAAAACTCAACAATTGCATGAAAAATTAAATGATTCTAGATTTATTAGAAAGCCAAGCAATTACTTTATCAAATAAAAAACACTTTGTACAAAATAATATTGCCAATTTCTTGTAAAGTCAAACCATATCTTCTTTAAATTTTTGTCTCTAAAATTTTTAACATGGAATTTTTTAACAATTGCTCCAACTAGTGCTGGTTTCCAAATTAGAGAGTTTCGCAAGCATGCGAAAGTCAAAAGGTTTCACCATAAGTCGAAACTAGTTTTGATTTTTGACTATTGACTTTTGATTTAGTTTTGACATATAACTTTAATTTTAGTTTTGACTTTCGTCTCTCCAAATAGTTTTAGCAACCCACACTAGCTCCGACACAAAAACACACAATAATTATACACAAAAATATCAATTTGTAGCTTAAATTATGAGGAATATGGATATAAAATTATATGTATCCATATTTTCTAGAATTCCATCAGTTAAAATTTGATTATTTTTGAAAAGAAAATTTTAATGTAAAGTTTTTTAATCATTGTTCTAAAACCTACATAATAAAATAATATGTTTTAAAACAAGCTTATAACTGAGAACGCAATGTGAGCTTTTGCTTTTCATGTTACAAAACACACATACTGTGCTATGTGAGAATAAAAATTCAATTAAGTTGTCTTCTTAGTTGCAAAGAGACATCACTCAGGCCAAGACAATAATCTATTTTATTAAATTTGAAACATATAAATAGGACAGCCATCCAAAACTTTTTTTTTTGTTATTTTTTCGTAGAGAAATTCCTCTCGGGCCATTTCAACGCACGGAACTCAACATTCTACATTCAGCCACATGAAATAATTGTTCGTTATTATTATATGGGCATGGACAATAGAAACAGCCCAAACGTCAAAATCACGATTTTGAGATAATCAAAAAAAAAAGATTTTGACCCAAAAATTCGGTATATGTGTATCATTTCCTTATTTATTACAAAACTTTGGGAGCTTTTTTCCAAAAAAATTTATTTAATATTTAACAATAATAACAATATAAATAATAAATAATATAATAAAA